GAAAGAGAGAGAGAGAGAGAGAGAGAGAGAGAGAGAGAGAGAGAGAGAGAGAGAGAGAGAGAGAGAGAGGTCAAATCGAACAAAAGAAAAACGAAGAGAAAAGGAAGAAATTATTTGCTGGCACGATTCAATACAAAAATGAGAGGAAAAGAGAGAAAGAGGGGGAAAAAAGAGGGTTGACCGAACACGCAAATAGAACGTTCGCTCATTGTCCAGCGGGAGACCCTTCGCGTTTTTTATCGGCCCTCAAAAACTGAATGCACCCTGCCACTCGAATTGATTCGCGTTCACGTGCGTTTCCCTGTTTTTCCGCCCCTTCAAATTCATCGTGATTCGAGCTGTCTATTTTCGCGTCTTCTATCTTGTACATCTCCACGCGATTTTCCACCCCTCCCGCCCCGTAGAAAATTTCAACGCGTGCGAGAGAGCAACTGAGAATCGAGGAACGTTTCGCAGAAACTTTCGCGCAGCGTCGGAAACGAAACGATCGGCCATTTGTGATGTAATTCTCGACGGTACAATCCAGAGGGAAATGACAAGCGATATTCGATCGCGGGGAGGCCGAAAGAAAAAGAGAAGAGAAGAAAAAGAAAGTAAACGAAAGAGAATAGAAACGGACCATGTTCGAACGATGAATTGATTTCCAGCCAGATTGAATCGAGTAAGTGGCATTCTATCGTAGTATGTGGCACCTTATCGTTGCTTAGATATTTCATAGACGTCAAGACACTCTTTACGGGCCGCGCCCGTAAAACCGGCGCCAGACGACATCGAACGTGTCGTAATTGAAAGAACGTTTGCCGTGCAATAACCAGAATCACGCCACCTTCGGTTTCGTTGTATGCACTGTAGTTGCTCGAAAGAGTTCACTGTCGACGGTTGTTCGACCGATTCGAGATTCCTTGCCGCGTCGTATGGCAACTGGTTTCGAGACGAGAGGCAACGCGTAGGCTGAGAGGAACTGGACGAATTTCAGACAGAAGAGAATAGATTCGGGAGAGACAGTTTTGCTCTCCAGAGGACGACAGTTCATCGATCTTTTTCTTTTTTTTTTTTTTCTAAATTGAAACGAAGAAAAATTTGGCTGTGGGCAAACTGTCTTTTCAAGAATTTTTCATCAGAGGTAGCATAGACATAGAGTCCTTTGCGTTTGTCTTTTGAAATGCCCGAAAATATTCCTACAAACGTAGGAATTTCCACTACCGATGAAAAGTTTCAAAGTACGTGCTGAGCAGTTCCCCAGAGTTTCCGCGTTTTATTTTTGACCGCCGATATGAACCTGCTTGTTGTACGTTGCGCGAAACGAGACAAGAGTAAACGAGAAACAAAAGAAGCTGCGTTTAGTTCACAGAGTAAATCGGAATATTGCCGCCGCGGTCGGTCCGCGACGAATTTTTCGTACGAGCGAGGTTACAAAGCGGTTTACAAAGCGGTTGATTCTTCCGTTTCGTTGGAGATATCTTGGCCTCGAGGAACTCGAAGAGCATCGGGAACTCGAAGACGTTCTGAAGGAGGCCGGAGGAGCTGGAGATCCAGGAGCGTCGTGGTGGAGTTGCTGCTGGCGAGGAAGAGAAAGCGGACATCGTAAGAGGGAGAGGGCGGCAGAGGGTGGCACGGCGAAAGGGGAAACAGGCGGGGCAAGGTTACGGAGAACTCTGAAGCATCGGGAGGAAAATATTCGAGATTCCAGGCGAACCGCGTGATGACTCAATTTCGCAAAGACCGTTAAATGGCCCGCTATGAACCACGCGCCGCTACTGGTCGCGTTCCTTCTCTGTTTTTGAAGGCCGAACATTCTTCGAACTAAAGGGGAGGAAGAGGAGAGTTGCCCCGCGTCGAATTGGCGATCCGCGTTAGCGTGCGAGGGGCCACGTTACAAAGAACGGCTCGCCGCCTTTTCCTCCGTTTCCAACAGCTCCGCCGCCACTTTCGTTCCAACATCGCCGATTCCCTCCAGATCTCGCGGATCGGATAAATTAAACGCTGATTACGCCTACGCGGCGGACGCTCACAGCGAACACAAGTTTGAAGAATCGATTCACCTTACCAGTTTTATGCTACAGATTCCACAAGAACAGACATCCGACCGTAAAATGTGAGAACAAGAACAAGAATTTCCAATTAATTTTCTATTTTGATTATCTCTCGATATTGTTGCGGCTCGACGACGGCAGTCGAAGCAGTATGAATCTGAATCATCGCGCGCTTATATTCGAGAAGTGTGACGATATAGTACAGCGAGTCGATACGATAAAAGATTCTCGCTACTTAACTAACTACTAATCCTTTATAATTAATGTCGCAATTATACTGATATGCAAATGATTGTCGTTGACTGACGGTCACACGATTTACAACGTTAATCGATTCGCGTGGACCGGACGTCACGCGGAATTGTATCGAGTATGTATTGTACTTTCGATTTGATAACGCACTCTATTATATTTAACCACGCACTGTTAATTTTACCAACGCACGAAAGTATCTCCAGGTAACGGCGGCCCTACTTTATACAAACAATGTGACGGTCAATCAGATGAAGCCTTGAGCTTTGACCGGATAACTAAACATAATAGACAAGATAGGACTTTTTGAACAAACGGGTGAGCTTATGAACATATCTAAATAGGATAATTTAGATCAACTGGACGAGAAGCCTAACGTCTTGTACAAATAATTTTAACAATTACGCGCTTCAACACTAGGACTACCAAAATGGTCAAAAATGACCAATTGATAATTTACAGAGTATAAAACAGAGTATTTTTAGAGACTCGAATGAGTCTTCGTGAAATACACAAATAAAAGCTTGTGTGTGTACCCTGTACTGTGTATTATAAAGATTTCCTGTTTCATTTATTTTAACGTCTCTGATATGGAAATTTTATGCTTTACTCAAGTCGGTTAAGTTAGTTTGAGTTTTAAATGTAACAGCGATAGTTTTACGACGATCACAGGATATAGATTACGTTTAGAAATTGGCCCGGGTCCAATGAAAGAAGACTCGATCTATACTTGTCGCCTGAAAGTATTGATTAATCGAGAAACGGCGTTCTACTATAAGATTCTACTGCGAGTAGATTTTACGTTTAACGCGACCAAGATGTATAAAATTTTCAGTAGAGCAAGCTTCCATTTACGTGTTTCACTAAAAATCATTCGAATCTCTGAATACGCACTGTTACAAATGCGTAAAATTTCTGTGGAGTATTGTAAATCGATTATTTTGATCACTTTGGTGGTTTCAGCTTTAAACGAATTGTTTGAGCCGACAAAGTATTCGATATAATATTGCAAAATCAATTCCGGAGTCGCAGTGATTGAAGAAAAATAAATAAAATCGTATATTCCCAGGGAAATCGGGACGACGATGTTGGTTGAAAATACTGGATTGCCATAAAAAAGCCTTGACGTCCAAAGGTGCGTTGAAATCCGATAAAAAGAGTGTAGTAAAAAGCAGGCTATTTCCCTGGAGAAATTTCCGAGAAATTTATTTCGTTCCGTCGTCGATTTGCGATCGAACGAAACACCGATCCTGAATATGAAACGGCAAGAACGCGAAATCTAGAAATCTGTGAAAATCGCGGAGAATTTACGCGAGACCTTCGTTACGGCAAATCAAGTTTTAGTTTCCATAAAAGTCGGCAGATCAAATCTGTAGCTTTGTATCGTGTTAACAACGTAGCAAGGTTGAAAATTTTCTAGAAATTTTCGAAGAAAATACAAATACTGCTGGGTAGAAGTATTGGCAGAAACGT